GCACGATTTCCATAATCTGGTTCCTCAACATGACATTGGGATCATATGGAATTCCTACAGGCTGATTAACCGGCTGATTTGCATGAGGTCTGATGTTTGGTCCTTGATTGGCAACAAAATTACCATAATTAGGTCCATTACCGTTAGCCTGGACATCTGTTCCCTCATTACCACGTGGAATATTCTGTCCATTGTTTATGACATTATCTCTCACGTTTGAATTACCCCCCAAGTTAGGCATGCCACTACCATTATTTTGATTTGGCACTGTAGTACCTCCTTGGTTTGAAGTAGAGGGACTAGAAAGCGATTCCACCCCTTGATTCGGATTTAGGACAGAGGGATTATGTCCCACAATTGTCCTGGTTTGAAAGTGGTTTGTAAGAGGTATAACCGGTTGACATATTTGGCCTACTAACTTATTTATTGTTTCGTTTAACGTCTTTAGCTGTTTGGCCATATTGTCATAGTGTGCATTTCCATTTTGTGTAAATCTTTCCATATTATGAATACTTCGAAGATTTACCTGTTCAACGACGTCTTGCGTGAGTTCTCCAAGGAATGCACGCATGGTTCGAGGACTCAACTCCGTCATTGGTTCGTAACGATTGTTACTGCTCTGATTTTGTCCATCTGTTCGTGGAGAGGCATGCTGCTCCTCATATCGCTCGATTACAGACTGGATTCCTCCCTGACTTGCTCCTTCCTTGTTGGATCTCTGAAGCATATTGTTTCACCTTTTGTATATTCAACACCTAACACCACTGTCCCACTGAGCGTGCCAAATTGTTTCGCGCGGGTTAAGTCGCTAACAATTAAAAAGGGTCAGACGATTATGTAAGGGACGAAACCTCTTGAGACAAAGTCCCAAAAAGAGGTGTTCTTTTATTGGCGATAAACTTTACAATTGGGAATGAAAAACAACGTGCCTCCAAGGGGCGCAAGCACACGAGTTACAGAAAGAAAGATGTTTAAATCTAAAAGTTAAGGAAATGAAAATTACATATTCTCTGTTCGAGAGTTTTGGATTCGGTCTTTTGCTTCTGCGTCCTTTCTCCCTTTTATACCTCATAGACGATCTCTTTGTGATTAACTACCCTAAAAACTGCTTGATCATCCTATAACTACCCACTTTCTTTGTAGTGGCCATTTTGTCATGAAACTGCCTTTTAACTGCTGCCATTATCTTTCATCGTTCAACTGCTTTCGATTGAATTCCTTGAGTCGTGGAATGTGATAAGGCTACTTTAACAACTGCCTTGATAACTGCATTCCTTGATAATCACGATGCGTTATATTTGTTGATACCTTGAGCGACTTGAAGGTTTGGGCGAGAGTAGATTAACAGCTCTGGGCGACCGTATGACACTCCATTCGTTCAGATTCTGGGCGACTTGTAAACTTGGGCGATGGTGTTACCGCATTCTTGGGCCCCTTATTTGGGCCTTCACCTTGATTCGTTCGATTGGACTTCGTTCTTTGGGCTATCCAATTTGGGGATCCTTCAATTGGGCTTTACTCCTTGGGCTGTTCGATTTGGGTTGAATTTTCATGTGTCAACACATTCAAAAGTCTTCAGCCAGGATATTTTGAGAGAAGATGGGGTTGTACATTAGAAAAAGAACCCGAAACTCAATGTGTCCATCCCCTTTGCCATTACTAGTGTTACGGCATTTTCATCGTGCTGTTGTCTATTGAAACTTATATCGAATACAAGTTATTGTCTTTTGTATCTTATTTAGAGTTCAAGAGAAAAGTGGAAAAAGTCAAGATGGTATTGAGGCTGCTTCTCTTCCTTTTACCCCCGGTGGGGATTTTGATACTCAGTGTTATGCTAATGCCAAAGATGAGGTGGCTTCTTATTAGAGCTCTGCAGCCCACTTATCGAGCGGTACGGCGTGATCTGAGACGTTCTCCATGGGATCTGATGCCCGCATGCCCAGTACGCCGTGATCATTGGAGTTCTCCATGGGTTCCGACACCTTCATACCCAGATCGCTGTTATCGGTGCTGCTTTTAATGATGGTTTATTCACAATCTTCCACTCAGTCATGCTTGATTCAGCTAATTTAGTCTAACTGTGCGTTTAGTATGTTGGATTGAATAATATTTCGTCCTTGATCATGTATCAAATTTAAAGAAGTATTTTATGCACCTATTTGCAATTTTATATGCATTATGCCAATTTTACAAGGGACAGAAGCATATTATTAGTACAATGCAACAGTCAAAACATGGAAGGTGTGTGATTACAATTAATTTGATTCCAATAACAGAAGATTTAGCAATTTAGATCAGAAAAATCTGCCCCTTTTGTCAAAATTTAAGCAAAAATTTCTTCATAAGATTTGGGTTTCGCATTAGTTTCCTGGTTCGGCTCCTCTACCTGCAACTGTTTCTCCTTAGCCATTTTTTTCAGCCTGGCCAGCTCAAGATCCTTGCTCATCTTCCTCTTGTACATCTCGGAAAACGTGATGGGCTCATCGAGAACCGGCTTCTCCCCGACCCTGACCTTGACTGGGTAAACTATGGCCTCTAGTGGTGGATTTTGGAATGTTGCAATTGACAATCTGCTGTAATTAGAGTTCACTACTACTTGGTGATCTGCATTCTTAAACCTCCCATTGCTTAGGTACCGCACGTGATTAAGCATGGATTATTTATCGTGGTTTGCTCTATAAAATTCTCCCAAGTGTTTAAGCAAAAGAGCCATGGTCACCAAGATTAACCACAAAAGCTCCTTCCACTGGCTGGACATTAATCCATGTGTTGCCACGATCCCTGTGGCTTGAAGCCCGCCAACCTGGTCCTGGAACAGTAGAGTAATGGTGCCCGGATCCGTATGCTGCTTGAGTCCGAGTGTGAGATCCGGTTGTGGACATTTGGGATAGAAATTAACAACCACCTTCTGATCCATATCAACGCAAGCTTTGGTGAGTGCTTCCTTTTCAAGATCCATTGCTTCTGAAAAACCTCCAGTAATTTGCAGGCCAAATTCATCAACTTTTCGCTTTAAGCCTCCGTCACCGCCCGCCACCCTTCTGGCTTGTCGGGCAACCGGGAATAGTCACGAGCCTTGATCGGGTATGAAAAGTATGTCACAATCTCACGCCAATCTTGAACTCTTCACCCTTGAAAGGGAAAAATATAGGTGTGGTCACAAGAACCATGCAAGGATTGCATTAACATCCCTACAGAAAGTGAATGTACTAATGTGGAAAACAACATGTTAGAACTACATGAAGGTGACTGGATATAATAAAACCCCCCTTTCTTGCCACCGGACATATCAAACCGGAGTTTCTCCGCCACCGGCAAAGCAAAGAAATCAAGAGACAAACGAATCATTTCAGAAATGAGTTTAGAATCAATCCCATGATCAACGACCTGAAATATTCCCCAATCCTCAAAGGCTTCTGTTAAATTCTTGAATGAAAACAATATGAAAGGCTTCATCATTGAAGCAAGAAACAATATTGAATTGAACTCCATAAAAGGAGGAAAGGAATACAAATGGAACTGGACTTAGTTCCATATAAAAGACACTCCATTGTAGGAGGAGAAGAAACCTCCATAAGGAGGAATTGGAGAGAAACTACAATCCAATGAATAACAATGTGTATACCATCCTGTATTTATAGAAGAAAGACTAGCTAACTAACCTAACAACTAATCTACTAACTAAACTAAACTAACTAACACAGCTGTGGACAACTAGAGACAGCTGGGATCATCCGTGTGAAGTCTGGAGAGTGAATCTGATCAATTGGAATTAAGATCTTTGGGATCAAGAATCTGGAAGTTAAGTTGGAAGAAATCTGGTGCATATCTGCTGGATATCTGTCGGTTCTGATACACCCCCCTCAAGATGGACTTGGAAGATCAATTACTATAGTCCATCTTCAAGATTAAAGATGACAACAATTCTAATATAGATCAATCGGAATAAGATCTTGAATTCATAATGCTGTTGCCAGCACTCCAGACCCAGAAATAATAAAGAAGAGCTTTGTTGGACATTTTATCAAACATCTTGTGTGCAGCTTCACTTGCTAAAGAGTAGAGTGAAAAAGGATGCAGTAAAGACTCCACAAGAAATGTCTTCATTGATGTAGCAGGGCAACCGAACAAAGCAGCACAAAAGTTGAACATATTAAAACTAAGTTATGTGATAGAAGTGAGGGGAATTCCTCCAACGATGGGAACAAGAGAAGCCCAAAATCAGGGCATGAAACTAGGTAAAGTAGGTTGTTTTATATCTGACGATGCCCGCGAGGAATTCGCCATGCTCCGACGAGCACTCGATGAAGTGAATACCCTATTGCAGATCAAGTTCAGCCAGGAACCAGAATCCATAGACTGGGAGTATTACAGAAAAGGGATTGGCTTTTGCTTGCTTGATACGTATAACCAATCATATGATGAAGTCTTGAAGATTGAAAAACAAAGAAAAGGGAATTGAATTCCTCCAGACCAACAGATGCTAATTTCTGCTGGGAAACAACTTGAGAGTGGCCGGATTTGCAGCCATGGATGGAAGCACATAAGCAGAATCTTGAAGAACTGGAATGCAACCTGTACGTCCAGTTGTTTGCAAGAATAAGAACTGAAGAATCTTCAAAAAACCAAGAATGATTCCAATAGAAATCTGGAAAATGAAAAACAGTAGCAAAAAGCTTATCTTTGCTCTGATACCATGTTAAATTCTTGAATGAAAACAATATGAAAGGCTTCATCATTGAAGCAAGAAACAATATTGAATTGAACTCCATAAAAGGAGGAAAGGAATACAAATGGAACTTGACTTAGTTCCATATAAAAGATACTCCATTGTAGGAGGAGAAGAAACCTCCATAAGGAGGGATTGGAGAGAAACTACAGTCCAATGAATAACAATGTGTATACCATCCTGTATTTATAGAAGAAAGACTAGCTAACTAACCTAACAACTAATCTACTAACTAAACTAAACTAACTAACACGGCTGTGGACAACTAGAGACAGCTGGGATCATCCGTGTGAAGTCTGGAGAGTGAATCTGATCAATTGGAATTAAGATCTCTGGGATCAAGAATCTGGAAGTTAAGTTGGAAGAAATCTGGTGCATATCTGCTGGATATCTGTTGGTTCTGATAGCTTCCACTATTTTCTTGCATATCTCCGATCTCCGGCCACCGGCTTCATCAAGTCCTGCAAGAGATATCACTGGAATATCTTTACTGAACTCGTTGTATGCCACCTTTGGCCTCTCGTCTTCATCTCTGATGAATTTCTGCTGCAGGGTTTTTCTCTTGTGCTAGTGCTGTTAGGGTTGTTGCTGCCATTTTTTTGTGAAAAAATTAATGGCCGGAAATTGGAGTGTGTTGCTGGGTTTGTTTGTCACATTTTTCTCCCAGGGCAATACTGGTTTATATAATCACGAAGCTCGCGCGTAAAGCATAGCTAAACGATGAAACTAATATTCGCATCTAAATGCGCTTTTTAGTTAACTACTTTTTATCTATCTAAGATTATGAAAATTATTTAACTAGTTTCACACTTGTTGTCCTCATAAAGTTGTGTTACCAAAGCAAATAGAATAATGCTGTTTAACACACCATTTGTGTCAAGCACCAATCTAGATGACAACTGCATAACATTAAATGATAGATTCGTCACACGATTAATTATTTAAACATATCAAATGTAGCCATCAAAATTGGTATTCTAACACTACAGATATGAACAAATAAGATACCAGAATTGCTTTAATACCGCTTGTTGCGAATATGACCAAAAGATTATGATAATAATGAAATAAACAAGAGCAAAATAAAGAATACCAAAATTTATGTGGAAACCCAAGAAGGGAAAAACTACCGACGGAGGAGGAGAAATCTATTATAACCAATAGAAATTGTGTTTATAACCAATATATCAATGCTCTCAACTAAAATCTAAAGCTCTCAAGATATTATATGAATATTTGGAAACAATACAAGTTGTGGCTTATATATATAAAACCCTAGAAACCAAGTTGAAGATAGGAGTCAAAATGTGTTAAAACACGAAAAAGGGGCTGTGCCAGCGACTGGGGGGCAATAGGCTAGTGAAAAGTCCCTATTCAAAATATGTGGATGTCGTTCAAGCGGCAAACTAATGAAAATGTAGCGACTTTTCTTCTTGGTCTAGAATTTGGGTCGTATTATAACAAATCTCCACTTTGAACCAAATTTCAATACAAGGAATTCCGAAAACATATTTCCAAAGCAAACACCACTCCTCCTCTTCCAAACAAGCCCTAATAGATTAAATCAATGACAAACACCAACTAAGCTTAAGCAATGATGCAAATAGTGTTGCACCAAAATTTGCATCATTCACTGTTCTCATTTCTAATACTGTAACCGTTCATTTATTGCCACAATTTGAACCATTTCGAGAACATTTGTCTTGCTTAAATTACATGTAAGTCAAAAAGTATCAGGTGAAAAAAATGTTATTTTTGACAATTAGATTAAAAAAAAAAAACTCTTAAATAAATATTTTATTTATAAAGTTCAAAATTTTCATTGGTGTCTCGAATAGATTTAGATGGTACAATTGAATTATTTTATTTCTAAACATTTTGAATCTCTTCAGTGGAATACAAATAGAGACTGACAAAAAGATT